AGAGATTTTATTGAATCCCCTGTTTATTTAACTAGACAGAGCTCTAAAATATCAATCCAACTTGCTAATAAAACTTTTGTGCAGACTAAGATCAGTCTGATAGTATAAAATTTCCCCGGTGTCGCTTACAAAGTGGTCTTGCTTCAAGCTTCTGATTAGATTTTCTATCAAGTGGAATGGAATGGGGCCAGATTTCTTTGGCTCCCGATAATACTTTCCCAGTACTGGTTTTGCTGCCTTTGTCTGCATCAAAATATTCAGATAAGTAGAGATAAATATCAGTAATCAAACCATCATTTAATGATATAGAGATGGTACCGCTTCTATTAAGTGATAGTGTGGAATTTGGGGGAAGAGGTGATGGATGACATGAGTGCCAATGTCATGGTGGATATTATTGAACAATCCATAATCTCTATCCACTGTTGTAAGCCCTCCTCTCAAATAACTCCATTCCTGTCAAAAGCAGATTTATTCAGTTTTGTTCTGAAATGAGATGTTTAAGCACTTTGAATTGCAGAAACCAAACTCATGCTGAGCTAAAGAGTGTTAATACCTTGCCACGGTACCAAGGAAGTTTGTGCTCATCGTGACCGTGGTGATGCAAATAAGTAACAAAGTCTAACCACATTACAAAAATCTGCAAACAGAAACACATGCTATCAGAAAATTAACATCTTAGATGAAGAATCTATAAATTTCACCAGATTAGGAAAGCATTATAGACATACCAAGTAAGGAACGCCATAAATCTTAAGCAATTGGACAGGGCCTACTACAAAGGATAAACAGAGCAGAAAAACAGCCATTATAGTCCAACACACAGTTGAAGTCACCACTAATTTTCTCTCGTTTGCTGTGAACAAGTTGCTATAGGGGTTGAAATGAGACCCTTCCTTCCCTGGACTTCTATACCACTGTTTTTGTAAACACCAAACATGAACAAAAATTAATGTCTTACCAGCCATAAACGATCAAAGTAATTGGAACTTCATATGTATTCTTACCAGATAGAGAGGATAAGCCAACATGGGGAAAGGCACTGTGAATCTCAGAATTCGAGTACTATGAGGTAGTTCCTTGAAAGTCTTCTCAGTCAACTGCAACAATGATAGAAAAAATTAACTATAGCACTACTATTTTTTAAAACATGTGTTTCCATCAAATAAGTGTATAGGCTTTTTTATATACCGGAACCCAAGACTCATCCTTTTCAACGTTTCCATGGTTTTGATGATGAGTCCTGTGGCTAATTCTCCTGCAAGATTCATGAATAAAATGAGTCCGCAAGTAAACAGCTTACAGAGACAAAATGAACAAAAAACCAGAGTTATTAAATACACACCATCCGTGGTAAGGCACAAGGATTGAAGAATGCAGGACATGTCCTACAATACTATTGAGCTTGGAACTGTCGGAGAAACTTCCATGTCCACTTCACAATAAAAAAAAAAAAACAAAGCTCATTTTAACGCAGAATGTATAGAAATTAAAGTATATGCATCAGAAAGACAAACAAGAACAAGTTAAAATGGGAATACCAGTCATGGCCAAGAACAAAAATTGCCCAGAACATTGTTCCCTGAGCCACCCAATAGAGCGGCCAGAAGAACCAACTGTTGAAGTGAAGTGCAGCTACTATGAGTGCAGAGACAAGAAGCAAATCTCTTAAAACATAACCGAATGACCTCCATGGGTTCTTGACCCAGCAATGCTCTGGAATGGCAGCTCGGATCTCGTTTATTCTGAATGGAGGAGGTGCACTTGGGTCGAAACCATCTTGATCATTAAGAAACTTTCTTTCTTTCTCCATCGAATCAAGATATGGTTCCTGCATTTGTGGATGGAGGTAGTCGGCTACTACTTAACTCTTGCCTAAAATGCGCAAATACAATGTTTATAAAGCGCAACTTAAACGAGGAATATAAAGGGCAAAAGATTCACTGCAGTATATCACTGTATATGGACAGAGAAAGGGAGTTTACTGTATGTAAAACGCGGGATACGTCATTCATCCAACTTAAGGTCATTAAAATTTATTCTTTCTCAATCACATTAATTATCAGCGAATCTAAATGTTAATATTTTTATATATCAGAATAAATTTGCCGAAAGCTAGAGACATAAAGAGGACAGATTGAACGTGCGGAAGTGGTGAAATTTGGTTGAGCTATATGCAACTAACGTGCTAGCTGCTGTTGCGTCTGGAAATAATTTCTCTGATCTCCTCTATAGTCGGGCCAAGTATAAGTGTTGGAGTTGTCTACTACTTCGACATTAAATGAGCACTCATGCGCATTGGAGAGTCCTTGGTGAGTGGGTGGGGGGTGTTGGGGGCAACGCTCCCAACCCTGGAGCGGTTTGGGTCATTTTCAAGTATCATAAGATTTATTTAAATTATTAATTTATTAATTCTTTATTGAGTTTGAACATAGGAATAAAGATCCTTGTAATATTAGGTTTTAGTCTTTTAAACCTAGTGATAGCAAACAATAGAACAAATTCATTTATTGTAAACGAGATAGGTGAGACAATATTGAAATAATATTAACTCTACTGGATGTAGTTTATTAATTGGATGAACCAAGGTAAATCGCGCGTATTACTTTTTCTCTTTACTGTTTGAGTTTGTGTGTTTACTGTTATCTTGGTTTCGTATTAGTCTCTATTTCGTTCATCAAGTATTGCTCAATTCAAACACGAAAAGCAATTCTAAAATTAACTAGCTTCATTGCAGAGAATAAAGGATTAAAGTGTTTCTTTTTTTTAATGACAAGGGTATTTGAATTAGTTTACGCACACTTCAACTAATCTCCAACGTTAAAGTTGTATATTATGAGTTATATATTACGTGCGAAAACGTTTAAGGTGATATATATGAATTGAAAAATTGAGGTATGGAAATGGAAGAGATGTTTTTATACGGAAGGTTGACAAAACAATGCAGATTCTTTGTCTTGGATGCTAAGTTATACTTTGATATCGTTGTGTCTCCTTTATCACCACTACCATTATCACCCATCATCAATTCCTCTTATCATTATTGCTTTTCAGCGGTAGCACATTTCCGTCACGCCAATAAATTATCATTTAAGTAATTTGAGATAATCAAGTAAATCTAATGATAGGACAAAATTAATATCAGAACGTTTTGATTAGAGAATAACTCTATTTATTTATCATATAAAGTAACTTTAAAGAGAGTGAAACTAAATAATAATAAAAAATTGAAAATTGAATGACAATGTAGATGAGTATGTTAATATTTATTTATACTTTTCTATTATATAAACATTTTTTTTTTTAGTTACGGTGTCTGAACCAATTTACGTGTATTTCAACTAATCCTCAGATGAGACTAGCACAGTAACTCACCGTCATGGCCACCCACTTAAATTGTGAAGGCTCATATGGGAATTCGTCTTAACCATCAAGGCATCTGGACAAAATAAATAAAAATGATTATATTTTGAATATACTGTATTTTCTTTGAAGTGTTTCCTTCATTCATTGATTTTGGCATGTAAATTTGAGTTAATAACATGAAAAATGTATTNTGATAGTACACAATTTCTGCACAAAATGGTCTTGGCTTTTGTCTGCAATACAAGCATCAAAATCTCTCGAGATCTATTAAACATTCCAATAAACACCCTATAAGTCTAATGGATGAATTAAAGTCACAAAATGTGATAAATGTCACTTGGTGGTGAGACTCGAATACAAGATTTTTAAATAACCTAAAGTTTTGTCATTCAGTCACAAACCAAGTGATTAATAAATATGATTATTCCTTGAGACGTAAATACAAGTATTTTATAATTTGGTGACTCTTTGAGATGCAAAACTTATTAATGTCTTGTCAGTAAACAGCAAATCGAGCCTGCAAAAGTTTGTCAAATCATGGGCCTCCCAAGTCTTTGTGCAGGAGGAATAGCAATTTAGAGTCTGCTCTCTGTGGGCTCAAAGTCTAGCCTGCAAAAGTTTGTCACATCATGGACCAAAGAGGATCCACTGCAATTTAGAGATATAATAGATTTATGGAAGCAAAACTACAGTTGCATTTACCATGGTGTGAAAATCTTTGCCAAGTGAACTAGAATTTGGTTACTATTTTGAGATGAATATTGCTCATTAATGGTCATCATTTTTCTGTCTGAAAAAGGTCTGGTAAGTTCATATCATTATTATCACTCACAATCTTCTTCTGCTAACTTCACTTATGAAGATGAAGAATGGTTGAAGAGAAGAGTACAGCATTTACACTGTACCAATATGTCAGTTCATGCCCAGAATTTAATGATGAACCAGACNGCTACAGAAACATAAATCATATTAACTGAAATGTTTCATTTATCGTTTACTAAAACAGTAAACAAAAACCCAAACCAAGTGGAAAACTAATTTCTAATGATTCTATAACAAATAAAATACTCACCTTGCTTTCTTCGTCCTTTGCCATGCTAAGCAAAGCCATGAGAGCTTTACTCCTCAATTGGGTTCTAATACTCTTAGAAGAATTCCTGAGCACTTTAACTATAAGCAACACAACACCAGCATTCCTAACCCTGTACCTATTGAAAGGATACTCCTCCGAGATCTTATAAACAATGTCCAACACTCTTTCAACACAATCCACTTGAGGATTCTCCTCACCTAGAACCTCCACCGCTTTGTTTACCTGAAAATCAACATTCCTATTTACCCACTCCTCAATAGCTCCAGCCAAACCGATATTCGGTTTCAGCTCCAATGACTCCAACACCTGCCCTGTTACAGGGCAAATCGGGTCTCGACAATCGTCTAAACACCTCTCAAACCAATACTCAATTGCCTTTCTTTCATAAGTCTGTGATGACTCCAAAACTACTGGTTCTTTCATAACTTCTTTAGTTAAAGGACATAAAAAGCTTTTAAATGGAGAAATGTTAACATCATCTTCCGTTTCAATATCAAAATTTAGGCTCGAAATGTCAGGAACAATACACCAAGAATCCAAGATTCGTTGTAATGAACTCAAAATTCGTCTCTCAGGAACCGAACTGGAACGCGCCAAGTCAGTCCTTAACTGCTTGATTTGTTTCGTTAATTCAGTTAAATCATTGGATTCAAGACCTAACGTTCTCATTAAGTCCATTATTATTGCGCTCTGAACTGCTTTCGTCGTCTGTCTTGCTTCACCCTCCTTCTGTAGCGTGCAATGCACACGCTCTTCATTGTCAGTAACCTACAACACACAAAACAAAAAGCGTCAGAACATCACGCGCAAATAAAAAGTACTGTTAGTGAATTACGTTAAGCCAAGTTCAGCGTACTTTGAACAAAGTTTCTTTCATGTCACGCGAGAGATCGGAGATTTTTTTCCGAAGTTCGGGATGATCGTGAAGAGAGGTTTCGGTCAAAGCGAGCCATGCGCCGATAGCTTTCGTGCACTCCTGGAGCGCATCGGACAAAGAAATGCAATTAATGAGAACAAAAATCTTGCTTCTGTTTCGGTAAACCAACACCGTTTCCACGGCCTTGGCCAAATCTCCAGCGATGCCTTTCAAAGCGGTCTGCACGGACGGAGAAAGAGTATCAGGCGAGGAAGAAGTACGGATCAGAGTGTTGAGAAGGAGCTGGAGGCGCGTGACGTAGACGCAGAAGCGGCGGGGATTCTCGAAGAAGTCCTGGTTATTGCTGTTGTCGCTGAGGTCGGAGAGAGAGAGGTTGATTGATTCTACAGCCTCCGCCGTAGAGAACGGCGTTGGTGAAGTCATTTAACGGTCAAGATTGGTTGCTGCGGTAGTAACGAACGGCAGTTGTGACTTCGGAGTATGGGTGGTCGAATTCAGTTGAAATTAAGTCAAGTCTTTGGCTGAGCTTTGAACTGCCGCCTTCAAACTTTTGAAGGTTATAAAACGCGGAAATTGAATTAGCTAGACCCCCCAAATTTGCGTTTAAAAAAATAACCCGGAAATTTTTTTACAGTTTCTTTGAACTTTAATAATCTTGTGATGTTGTAAACTCTGAAATTCATATTAACGTCCCTTAATATGGACTGGACAAATATTCCAAAAAAAAAAAGGGGGGGACCGCTTAAGCGACCCAGTGTTCATAAGCCTTCGTCTCTTAAGCGATAATGTAAATCACTTAACCGATCTTATGAAAGACATAGTAAATATCATCCGAATATACTAGATTGTTTAAGCGATTTCAGGTTTCGCTTAAGTGATTCAGTATATTTAGCCTTAGTCACTTAAGTGATGAACAAATCGCTTAAGCAATCACGTACAAGCCAGAATCAAGACCACTTAAGCGATTCTTCTTCACTTTTACCCTTGGTCGCTTAAGCGATTAAGTTCAAGGCAGAATAAAATCACCCTAGGTCCACGATCTTTTAAACGATTTAGGTTCTTACTTAAACGACTCTTCACTTTTATAATTGGTCGCTTAAGCGATCTACGCGATCAAATTCAAGGCAGAATCAGGATCACTTAAGCGATTTTTCATGTTTAGTCTTAGTCGTTTAAACAATCACGTCCAAGGCAGAATCAAGATTATCTCAAATGCATTGTCGCTTAAGCGATTTATGTATCGCTTAAGCGACTCTTCGCGTTTAGCCTTAGTTGCTTAAGCGATTTATGATCGCTTAAGCGATCAAGTCTAAGGCAGAATCAAGATTATCTCAGATGCATGATCGCTTAAGCGATTTATGTATCGCTTAAGCTATNGGATCTTATTGCCTTCTTTATCAAGATTACTCCATCTTCCAAATTATAGATTTTAAGGCATTGATTCTTAATTTCTCATATATAACGAGTTTGGGTAGAACTCACCTCCAAGAGTTAGCTTAAGGGAGGAGTGAGTTCAATCACATATATATATTATAATCACCTACCAAATTTGTGATGTGGGATAAATACAATTTCTAATAGGTGTGATATTTTTTTATTATAATAGCAGTCGTGGGGACTCAAATTTGAGAGATTATATTAAATCATTCTCTTGCTCTTTCGCTGTCAAGGGAATTCGATATTGAGAGACTATGTTAATCATCTTTTGCTCTTTTACTATCCAACCACTCAGTGATAATTTTGTGAGAGTCTTGTTCTATTAAGAAGAAAGAACCATATAATGCACAAAAAATTGAATTAATGCATGTCTAATCAATTAAGTTCTCAACGAATCGTGCAGGCTATTATTTTTGGTAGGTGACCAATAAAATAACCCAATTATTTCCTCTAAATGCATCCCCGACAACAAATAATGTGCTCCATTGACATTTTAAATAGTACCAAAATACACGTTTTCTCACATTAATATTATCTTTTTGTTAGGAGATCACGCAGCGAAAAATATACATTTGAGATGAATAATAAAAGAATAAAATCACATAATATAAACAGATATGATATTTACATGGTTTGACAAAACCTACCTATATTCACAGATGAGAGAAATCTACTATAGTTTTATGAATATGATATACAAGAGTACACAACACTATAAATCTGATACATAAAACAAAGCGGAAACAAACCTAGTTTCTAACCACGCTCAACCTAGTAGCTAGAGTGAAAACGATCCCAATTTCTAAGACACTCTCCCTATTGTGTTTAATAATTCTTACATCAAATATCATGTGTTCTCACATTCTCTTATAACCTTGAATTGGTTCTTACCCCTATACTTATAGGTAGTATATGGGATATTCTATTCCTAATAAGATTCATATATCAATTCTTAATTAGACTTTCATAATTTTATTCCTATTTAGAATGATATTTTTTACTAAAGAGTTTTCTTAAAGACATACAATTTTATATGGAAACAAATAAGAAAACGAGCCACAATATCCCAACACTTTTCTCATTTATTAAATTATATACCTACAACTACTTCCGAGCGGTCGAGCGGTTCGATAGAGATTCTTGGATATATTATTCAAGAGGTCTTAAGTTCGAATCCCTTTTTGATTGCTAATAGAGGTAGTTATTGAAAATCTTACTCGGTTGGTAGTTCCAAGGTCTCGAGAGATTAGTTGAGATTACGCGTAAGTTAGTCTAGACACCTGCGATCATAAAAAAAAAAATTATATACCTACTAAATTATATATTACCAAGACTTATAAACTAACTTGGCTCGTGTTCACTATAGATATGAAATATGACAAATAATCTCTTAGTAACCACGAGAGAAATTGAACATTGTTTATTCTTTTCTTTTCAATTCATAAGAAAGTTCTTTTTCTTTATAAAAGAGAAGTAATGAAATTATGTCCTTCTCATACAAGGAACGCAGCCACAAAGTGTCTTAAATAATAAAAAAAGTGGGGCGATTAATGTCACAAAAATGAAAGACCAACAATACCTAAAAAACTCGAAATGATCTCAATTACGGCAACTCATTGGAGAAAATCCTGTGAAAAAGTTTGTACTAATGTTGGTTAAGGTGTTTTTACATTCATGTTAATGTATCACAAAAGCTAAACAAAATTAAAGTTGGCTAATCAAAACTCTCTTTTCTTTTTGTGCGACCGTGTGAAATGATCATTATATTATACCCTTTGTTCTTTTTGAGGGAACCGACCGAAAGCAGGAAAATTTATTTTAGGGTCAAAATGCAATGTTCAAGGAATAAAGGGGTTAGATGAATTTCCATTTAAAAGGGGGATAAAGTGTCAATTTGAACGAATAGGGAGGATCAGATTGAAAGTAAAAAAAAAAAGAAAAACTGAATATTTTGGCGGTGGGGTGGCCAGTAACCGAAAGGGATGCTACTAACCGAAAGGGATGCTACCACGCCACTATAATATGAAAGAACAAATCTTCAAAGTTGGGATTGGAGTACTATTTCAAAGGCGTTAATTTAAAGATGTTTTAAGATATATTTTATGCTTTCAGATTGAATGTTCAATGTTCTTTCTTTCTTGTTTTCTCCTCTTTTTTGCTTTATATGAAAGTGCTTAGAAGCTTTGTAGATTTTTCTTTTGAAAAGCAGTATAAGTGCCTTTATGCCATAAAATGATACAATGGGATATGTCAAAGAATTTTAGGGTATGAACATAATTCCCATTTATTTCTTTATACAGTCAACTCTCCATGGAAACATATCCTTTTATCAACTTGAATTAGCGAACGAAATTTTTATCAACTCTTTCTATTATTAGAGGATACCTTCTATGCCACGACAAATGAAGGTGGCTTCGATACTGTTGAAAAATGGCTTTTAGCAAAATCACATGGGGTAGAAGTGATAATAGAGAAAGGTTTAAGAACTTATATGTAATCGGTCAAAATGAGTTAGTTTATCCCACATTGAAAAGGAATGAAAAGTGGGAAACTTTTGGGGCTTATATAAGGACCTAAATCAATGTTAATTGTATCCCAAGATGTAATTCCATTATACTTCTTTTGTTTAAAGTTCTTTCTTTAAGGACCCTTTAGTTTGCAAGTTTTGTTGTATCTCTCCTTTGTTTTGGGTATTTGTTATATTGCCCAAAAGTTTGTAATATTGTTTGGAGATAGTGGAGTTTTCTTTTGCAGCGTCCGAGGACGTATGTTTCAATACCGAACCTCGTTAATTCCTAGTATTCTTTATTTTTTGCATTTAATTTTGATTATTTATTTATGCTTTACTACTTGTTATTATTATATTCAATAGCTAGCGTTAGAGTTTATGTTTCCGTTGCATAACAGATACCATAATAAATAAGCTTAGAGAGAAGTCACTTCAAAGTTAGGTCAAAGGAGGAGGAAGTCCAATCGTGTGTGTGCATGTGTCCTGGTGCAACCGGTTCAATCGGGGATCCGGGGCTTTTACCAGACCAGGTTAGCAATTTTTCTATTCACAAAAAACCTTAGGATTTGGGACGGTGATCGACAAACAATTGAAGGCCAGGATGTTGAAACTTTTGAAGAGAAAGGACTGGTGAATACAATGGTGGCGACATATCTGATTTTCAGTGAGGGAATCGATTGGAAATTGCAAAACTAAATTGGTGGCAACAGTGGGTTGTTGTCGCCGATTGGCGAGGCAATCAAGGGAGGGGTGATATGGTTTTGGTCAGGAGGCTAAGAGGAGTGTTTTTGTGGTGATGGGGAGTGTTGTCGTCACTAGAAACATACTCTATTTTCCCTGGTTTGTCAACGTCGGTAGTGATGTTTGGGGTGTTTTTGCAAGATTTCAAACCTGTAGGACTTATAATTTGTAGGAGTATTTTTTTTTTTATATTTCAAACTTTTAGACACCGGCTTGATCGGCAGGTTAAACCGGTCAACCCGAGACCTAGCCACTTTGTCAAGTTTTACCCTAAGTTGGTTATTAAAACACTGATATATATATACACTATAACGACGCTCCAACTTAACGATATGAGACAAATTCAACCTTTAATGTATATACAATCAAAGTTCTTGAAAGACTATATAGATTTAATTAATGAATTAATATTTTCCCTTTGAGCCTTAAAACTACGTCTTTGCATTTTCATGAAACGAAAGATTAATAGTGTGTTGATCACTTGATCTTCACATTTTCCATCTTTAGAAAACAGAAAAAAAAAAAATGAGACTTTACGTAAAAATTTGAGTAAAATTTCAAAATAATGACATGTGGATGAATTCAAACAACAGAAACTATAGTAGACTAGTATCAAATTTCAATCAAACATAAGGCTTTTCTTCTAGTTTTATGTAAACTAAGCATTTTAATTCCAAAAAAAAAAAAAAAAAAAAAGATGCAACAATTTCGGTGCTTAAAGCAACTTTCATTGTATTAGTGCTTGTGATTTCTTTGCTTATTTGAAGTTAAACGCAATCGTCTTTCACCGAA